ACACTGCAACTGCCCTGATTTTCCTCCTCCCTCACTGGCCAGTTCTTTTGGCCTCCTTTGCTGGTTCTTTCTCATCTTCCTACCCTCTTATTATACTGGAGTGCCAGGCCTCGGTTCTTAATACTCTCCTCAGTCTATACTCACCGTCCTGGGGCTCAGCCATTCTTTTGGCTTCTTTTATATGCTGATTACTCTGAGCCTAAAACTTTCTCTTGAACTGGAGATTCATAAATCCAACTGCCCTGGGATGTCTAATGGGCATCTCATCCTAACACGTCCACAAGTCCTGTTCTTTCTCTAAACCTCCTCCTCCTGCATTCTTCCACGTCTCAGTAAATGGCAACTCCTTCTAGATGCTCAGGCCAAATCCTTTGGAGTCACTCTTGACTCTGCTTTTTCTCCCACACTGACATCCTGTCCATTGGCAAATGCTACTGACTCTGCCTTCAGAATATACACGGAATGTGACGCTTCTTACTGCCCCCGCCCATCACCACCATGGACCAGGTCCAGAGTGATCCTCCCTGGTCTTCTGCTTCTACCCTTGTCCCCCCAAGTTTTCAACTTAGCAGCCAGAGTGATCCTTTTAAAATCTAAGTTGTAAGTCAGGCCTCTGCTCAAAACCCTCTGAATGCTTTCTGTCTCATGCAGAGGAAAAGCCAAATCCTTACAGTGGCCAAGACCTTGGCTCTCTTTTTCTTTTTTTTTTTCCTTTTTGTCTTTTTTCGTGTCCGGCAACGGATCGCAACCCTCCGTGTCGGGATCGCAACCCTCGGTGTTGCGCCCACACCTCGCTCAGCCAGTGAGCGGGAACCGGTCTGTATGTGGGATCCGAACCCTCGGCGGGAGCGCCGCCGCACCCCCAAGCGGGGCACTGTAGCAGGGCGCCACCGGGCCGACCCCAAGACCTTGGCTCTCTTTTTCTTTTTTTTTTTCCTTTTTGTCTTTTTTCGTGTCCGGCAACGGATTGCAACCCTCAGTGTCGCACCCGTACCGGACCGGGACCGGCAACGGGATCGCAACCCTCGGTGTTGCGCCCACACCTCGCTCAGCCAGTGAGCGGGAACCGGTCTGTATGTGGGATCCGAACCCTCGGCGGGAGCGCCGCCGCACTCCCAAGCGGTGCACTGTAGCAGTGCGCCACCGGGCCGACCCCAAGACCTTGGCTCTCTAACTCATGTTCCTCCCCTCCTTGACTGTGCCAGCCACACTGGCCTCCTGACAGGCCCTTGCGCATGCAAAGAAAAAAAAGGAAAAAGAAAAAGATATAGTGGTTGTGCAGTCTGCCTGGAATACTCTTTCCCCAGGTATGCACATGGCTCACTCACTCACGGACATCCGCTCTTTGATCAAATGTCACCTTCTTACTGAGACCTTCCCTGACCTCTCTATTTAAAATTGTAGCAACCTCATTACCAGTATTGCTTATTCCCTTTCTGTGCTTTGCTTTCCTTCTTGATCATCCGGCATATGTATTTTATTTATGCATGATTCTCTCCCCCCACTAGTCAGGAATATTCTGTTTAGTTCACTACTGTATCCCCAGGGCCTAGAATGGTGCCTGGTACACACAGTTGGTGCTAATTTCAAATGAATTAATTTCCTTTCCTCTGATACCAATTTCACTTAAAGAGTGTTTTCAGGATAGCCCTAATTCTCTCTAGTCTTTATATTCTCTATATTGCAATAAAAAATGCCCTCCTGTAGAAAGTTAATCCCTCATTGTCCATTCTTCTGAAATAATCTAGAAATGTTTTTGTCTTTAAGAAGTTGTATGTGAATGAACAGCTGCTTCTCTTAATTAATTTTTTTTTTTTTTTGCAGATTTAAAGGAAGCAAGAAAGATGACATTCTGGGAGTTTCCTATAACAGATTGATTAGAATCGATGCAGCCACCGGGATTCCTATTACAACGTGGAGATTTACAAATATGAAACAGTGGAATGTAAATTGGGAAATCCGGCAGGTAACATGAAAGTTTTTGGTATTCAGTGTTGAGCCTATAAATGTGTGTTCCATCAGAATTGCAGATTATTCTGATTTTAAAAAGGTGTTCTTATGTTTATAACTGAGAAACCACAGGCATGTGGTAATTGTCTGCTAAAATAATCACATGCAATTCTGGGCACTTTCCAAGTACGGGCCAAGTGTTCTTGAATTAACATGCAAGTCAGCTTAGTCTCCATGCAAACTTTCCATACAGACAGGCTCTAAAACTGCTGAACAGTCTGATTCGTTTTCATCGACTCAGCATAGAATTATATAAGATCTAGGCTGATAATTACTTAGCAGAAAATACCTGAGATGTAACTGTTATACAAAAGAAAACCTCCTTTGATTGGCTGCCAAGAAATCCAACTGGTTGAGGACTCAAAGGCTCAGTTGCCTGCCTGGGGAGCAAAAGGGAACTTTTGCCAAACCTAAAAGGGAAAAATTGCTGGAGAAGCAAGGGAGGCGCACAGATGCTGAGAAAAGCTTAACCTCTGGAGATGAAGGCCTGCAAACCCTCAGTCTGTGTGGACTCTCCCCATCTCCCATCCTAGGAACTAAATTCAGGCCAAGCCTGTATCATGGGAAATTCTAAATGGAGTTACAGACACCTTAGCATACTACTGCTGATTTAAAATATTCTGATGTTGCTGATATAGAATCTATCTTCCCTCGTTTGTTTGCCATTCTCACTTTTCCAGTAGAAAGCAATCAACACAGAGGGATGGTAAGAGACCCACACTTTTAAAGAGCTGCAGAGTCCTCTCAGTAGTGTTGATAACCCTCTGGGCGTTCATTTATAAAACAAAGGTCAGAGATGAGATGACCTGTAAGGCAGTAGCTCTAAAACCTTGATGCATGTTAGGATCACCTGGGGACCTTTACAATACCACTGCCCAGGGCACACCCCAGACCAGTTAAATCCGAATTACTGGGAATGGGACCCAACCATCAGTAATTTTTAAAGTTCCACCAGTGATTCCAATGGGCAGCCAAGGTTGAGAACCAACAAAGTCTCAAGACTTTCTTCTAATGACTTTCAGCTGGAAAGGGGTATACGACAGAGGCTGTGGGAGAATCAGGCAGGCCTTTCATTCTCCATTAAGGAGTCTGCAAAGCACCCTGCCCCTCAACACAGGGAGTGCTTGAGACGTTCTTACATCTAAAGGACAGACAGACAGACCAAAAATATGTATGTGCGTTAGGAGTTAGAATTTTCACCAGGTGCATGACAAAGTTGACACCACAAGAGGGCGCAAAGGGAGCAAAGACGTGTTTTCTGTATGTCTTTAATGGAAGTGGTGGTTTGCTGGGCGGTGTTTTGGGATACCCGTCTGGCAGCCACCTCAGCAGCCCTCAGTGCCAGGGTCCATCTCCTACAAAGCAGCTTCTTTCTCACAATTCCTTGTCAGAGTTTCAGCTTATGCATGCGTCTCTCTTCCAGGTGGCGATCGAGTTTGACCAAAATGTCTCCATTGCATTCACCTGTCTGAGTGCAGATTGCAAGGTCGTGCACGAGTACATCGGCGGCTACATTTTCTTGTCCACACGCTCCAAGGACCAGAATGAAACGCTCGATGAGGACCTGTTCCACAAACTGACCGGTGGTCAGGACTGAAGTGAAGCTGCCCAGTTCAGCCCACAAAGACACAGTGAGCCCAAGCGGCCCTCCCTGGACAGAGGAGACCTATGGCTTGCCCAGTGGGGGGATTCCAGACTCACTGACCACAGACATTCACCACGGTCACCAGATCCTCACCCCACTTCAAACACACTGCTAGCACATCCCCTTCCTCACTTTGCCCTATGCTGCCAGCTGTGGAAGGGGCCTCACTTCTATGACATGGGTGACATGGGTGGCCAGGAGAGGGGGAGGAACTGTAAGGTTGCTCTAAGGTGCTCTGCGGCCCAGCATGTAGCTGCCGTTCTGTGACTTGCAGAACCTGCCCAGTGTGTGGCTAGGCGTCCTTGTGCTTGTCTGCCTCATTGCTAAGTCCATGGAGAAGGCAGAAAGGTAAAATCACATGTAGCAAATACAAATCTTCTTCCACAAACTCAGGTATGAAAAGAAATGTGTATTTCCTAAAAGGAACTATTTTTAGCTCCCATCTTATCAAAATGGCAGAGAAAGTCTGCACACATGCTTTCCTCCAGAGGTCAAGATCTGAGGAGAGGTGGGGGTTATGTGGTACCAATTGGCGACAAGGGGTCAGAGCAGTGGGCCTCAGTGTCATCCATCCACAGTGACACCTGCCGAGGTGACCATTGACCCATCTGGTCCTCTCAGGTTACTGCTGCCCCATTCCATTCCTGGGGATCCCCCATTTCCCTTTAACCCCTTCCTGAAGACATGAGCAACACAAGGGTGTAGGGAAGCCCATTCCTCAACCCAGATCCGTGTTTCAGCTGCTTCTGCTCTGGGTTGGCGCTCAGGAACATGAGCATGTTTCTCTCTGTTAGAAAAGCCACCTCCCAGCATGAAGGAGTCCAGTCGGGTCTCCATCCCACCTGGCCAGAGAAAGAAGGGCAGACCTGTCCTCAAAGACCACCATGTTCAAGGTCTGATGGCTCCCACCAGCTGCCACCTCAAGGGCCTTTGGCTGGTCTGGGTGGTAGCATTCTACTGGATCTGACGCCTGTGTTTATGTGACTCCTGGCCTTTTCCCTAAAGCCCTTTGGCTTTTATTAATCACAAGCCCGTAATAGACTTTTTTTTTCTCTGCTTTTTGCTGTGTCATCCCTGCCTTGAGACATAATCATGAGCCACTTAACAGCTGCCTGAATCGTCATTTTCTGTTTTGGTTTGTTAGCGGTGGGAGGGGCGGGTTTTGAGTAGGTGAAAAGCAATCCCAGAGATAAAAGGAAATGTCAGATAATATTCTATTACGCTTTTATAAACACTCTCCTACTACATGAAGAACTTGGGTGGCAAGAATAAGGCAAAGGCTCCGATTCCATCATTTTGCAGTTTTCTCAGGATGTACCCATCAGGGGGCCTGGCTGGAGCCCAGATCCCCACAAACATCAGCTGTTGCTTTATTTTCCAACAAAGCCATCTGAGTAGTGAGATCTCAGCAATTCCAGGAGCCACATAGAGACAGCCTTGGCTAGGGACGCCACCACCCTAGTACCCCCCATACACACACACACCTGCCCTGAGCCAGAAGCTGTCACCTGGAAATTCCTCTTTTAGCCTCTCCTTAGGGGTGAATGTTAATGAAGGCTCCCAGGCAGCAGCTGAATTTCCGAGGCCTCACTTCTTAAAACATAGAGGTGGCTTATGCTCTTGGGAAGTATGCTCATTCCAAGATACAATGGTGGGACAATTTAAGGAACTTAATTTGAAATGTTTTACATAGAAACTAGTGCTAAGCCTACCGTGTTAAACTTGGTGTTGGTAATTTCTCTATTGTCCAGGGCTCTGTTATTTTAGAACCTAGTAGGGTCGCTAACAGTGTAACAGGCCCTACATTCAAATATTGCTCCATGATGGCAAATTTTACCTGTCTGCAGCCGAGGACAGCTCCACCTAATTTACCAAAGCTGGA